TCCTGCTGATATGTTTGCTCTCAGGAGTATGGTGAAATGTTCTGAGAGAACATCTTAGGCAGATATTGCTTAATACAGCCTTTGTCTGATGAGACAGACTAATTAGTGGCACCCTTCCCAGGACCTCCTTTGTTGAAAAGCAAGGAAAAGTGCTAGATGGTTTACCCTGACTGAGGAAGTCTCCTTAGGGCTGTGAGAGATCACGGGGAGCAGAACGGAATGGGAACACAACTTGCAGCAGAGCATGAGAGGGAAACAATAGAAAATTCATAGCCTGAGTCCCAGTGTAGAGGACTAAACAATGTCCTGTGTCTTGGACAACTCTGCTAGAGGGAAGTGAGATGTAATAGTGTGTATTGAAAGAGCAGATGATAAACCAACAGGCATATCCCTGGTCAAGTACTGAACACCTTGAGATGATGCCAACCATGTCCTATTTTAACCAGAGTCACTGCCCAGAGCTTCACAAGCACCAATCCCCCCCGTCCCAGCCCGGCAACTATGTCTGCTAGGCGCCTCTGGGCAGAAGGTGCACAGGAAACTATACAGTACCTGCCCGGGATGTTCTGCTGGCAGTGCTGCCTTTGCTGCTCCCAATGCTGTCCCCCCGCGTCAGGATGGAGATGCCACTGAAGCTGCTGGCTTTGGTGACAGGTGGTCGCAGGTTGCGGATGGAGCCATCTGAGTCTGTGCTGCTCCACGGCCGAGGCTCCAGAGACTTTATCTCACTCTCTGTGCTGCTCTGACGGCTGCCTGAGGCCCGGTTCAAACTGTCCCGGTTACCCCTGCAGAGACCGGAGGAGTTAGACAACACCTTCAGGGGAAAGGGGCAGGAGCTGGACCCACACGTGCTGCATCAGAACTGTTGCACCAGGGGTGGCAACCTTGGCCAGCGGCTGGCTCTGTGACACAGTGTACTGGCACTGCATACAGGGATCTGCCAGTGAACAAACATCCTGGCTTACAACTTGCTCGAGCATGCACTGTGAAGACCCAGACACTGCTGCTCTTCCTTGGTGTGTGTTAAGAGCTTGCCCCTTGCCCTTTTCCCTAGCCAGACCTCAGTCTGGAGGGGATTCCAGCAGGGTCAGAGCATGATCCCTTGCTAAAGCCCTCCTTGTTTCAGAACAGAAGCTTCTCTATGGATAGCTTTACAGAGTCTCCGAGACAAGGATGACTGAGAGCATGCCAGACCACTTTCTGCACCAGCTCTTGTAAGGCTTCCTGCCAGTTGGAACAGCTCCAGGCCAGGTTATCACTTCACTCAGAGCTCCCACTCTTCAGCCTCCCTGAGCTCCAGGCCAGGTCTGGACAGAATAGGACCTTATGGAGTATTAGCAAAACACCGCAACCAGTGAGCCTGGTTTGTCAGCCCTCCTGAGGAACATAAGCACAGCCCTGGGCTCCTGGGTCTCCACTGAGGGGGAGTGTTGAGGAGGGTGACACTGGAAGAGATGCTTATGCTGAGCCTGACAGCAGCTCCAAGCAGTTGTGGAGAGGAAAAGGGGAGCTTGGAAGGAACCTGAGGTGATGTCCTGGGCCGGTGGGAGCACATGAGAGGGGAAAAAAAAACTTCCTTAGAAAAGCAACCAGTGCAATTATCCTCAAACTGGTGAAAGGAACTTGACTATGCATCCTCAAAGCCAAAATTACAGCTGACCTAACAAGCATGACCTTCAAGTTCTTGGGCTCTCTCCAACCTAAACTCTGAAGGCTTGTTTTGGGGCTGTTCAGAGAGGTGGGGGGCATGGGGAAGGGAAGGGCAAAGGGGGGACATGTCAAGGACTCTGTTCCAATTCAGCTGCAAACTCTGGCTCCCTGAGAACCCAGACCCCAGGCTCGTTGCTGCCAACCCAGAGCAAAAAAGGTTCTCCTTTTTCTGTGGCTAAACGCTCTTCAACCTTCAGGGACACTACCACTCTGAGAGCTGCTGTGGCAGCTTCTGCCATGCTCGCTTTCCCTTAGCCTTGCTACAGCCAGTTTCCAAGTGTGTCCACCAGCAGAGTTCTCTGCAGTCAGACTTGTGCTTCAGCGGCATTAATACCAGGTTTTCAAGCAAGTGAAGCAGCTTTGTTTGCTCTGAATGCTGGGCTTTAAGTGCAGCAAGTCTCTGGAGTTCACAAACACATCATCTCCAGCATCACCGCTGAGGGAGCCCCAACCTCCTCAAGAGCTTATCTATCCCTGTCCAGAGTTCAAAATGATCCTGAGGCCCACACAGCCTCCCTCTCCCCCCTATGGGAACCACAACACAAAGTCAGCAGATTAACCAAGCTCTTTAGGCTCCTAAAGCTGCAATCACATCAACAACAGCTTTCTTGCTGCTTGCTGGGTGAACTTCATTAAAAACCCATGGCAGAGCTGAAAACTCTGCCCCCTGCCTTAGACACTACTGCCACAGCAGACTCCAACACACAGTCCCTGACAGGCTGGGAATAATCATGCTGAGGACACCCGAGTTTCCACTACAGTGTCCCTCCAAGGGTAGCCTGAGCCACGCCAGGCTGGTTCTGCATTTCCTTAGATCCTCCTGTGCTGTTCATACACAAGAAATGTTTCCTCTCTAGAGCTTTGACTATCAAACAAGAGGGACAGCAGGCCCTCCATGAGGGTTGCTCCATTTTCATCCTGTTCTTTATCCTCTTATCCTCAGCAGCCACCACTGCCAGATTGGGACCTGTGCAAGGTGACTCCTCAGGCTAACTTCATTCTTCTACCCCTTTCATCCACAGGAAAACAACTTAATGAGAAAACGCTGCTCAAACATGCTCCCAGTGCCTTCTGCAGCACACTCTGGTTGAAATGGGCTCCTCAGACACTTCACTGCCATCATGAAGCAATTCAGCCATTATGATCAGGAATTAGGGACAAACCCCCCTGTGAGGATGTTGATCCTGTCACTGTTAAGGGCAGGGGCTTTCCTACCCTGTGGGGAAATGAGAGGCAGAATGATTTGAGAAGTGTTGGAATCCTCTGGCTTCCCCATTCCTCCCTGCCATTCCCACCTTCCACCCCTCCATTTTAATTGATGAATCAGCAAAAAAGGACTCAAAAAATTGATGTTGCAAAAAATACAACTTGAATAACTTCACAAGCAGCCATGCATGGGGCAAACTTACTGAGCAGGACAATGTACAAAATAAATCACACAGAGATACCTAAAAATCTGCCTCCGTTTGTGAGAACTAGAAGAAAAGCCTTCTTTGGAGATTCTGTCGGTTAACATCAGAAAAAAGCATCATTATAGAGTCATGCAGTCCTCCACAGAGAAAGCCAGAGATACAAACAGTGTCTGCTGAACACTACTAACCTGCTGTCAGTGAGATATCCATTCTGGCCAGTCTTGAGGCAGGGAGAACACATGGAGACGGGAGGGAAAGAAAAGGAAGACTTAATAACTTTGAAAACAGCAAACCCAGGCACAATTTCAAAGCAAAGAGGAGCAAAGCACTAAGGGTCTAGGACTCGGGCACAGTCTGTATTGTGCACAAGTTATGTGCTCGCTCAGGAGTCTTGTCGAGCCTTTGGCACTCCAGTCCCACCTGGTTTTCAATCCAGACCCATTAGGAACCTTCCCTGATGGCTGCAATTCTGAGATCTCTCAGGATTTTGCAAGTCTGAGTCCAAACTCCCTACCTCATTGCTCTAAGGCTGGATTAGTGATGGTTGCTTTACCAGTGGAACAATCGAGGCCAGACATGCAACGGTCCTTACTTGCTAAGTGCAGGCACAATTATCAGAGATATGAAGAAAAGGCAGAAGGCTCAAAGCCAGCCCAGCCCACCCTGTGATAGTCACCATTGCCTCTGGATGTCAGGTGTGAAGCACTGGCTCAGCCCATGAACACGGAGCAAGGGCAGTTACATGCCTGCCCCATCTTGTGCTAACGCGGGATAGTGCCTGCCCTATCCGCAGACTGCAGGCAGAGCTGTTTACTAATACGTCTGCATGGCTTTGGGCCTGTGCGTATAAGACAAATCCATGGTTACAACGAGCCATCAGCTGAAGTCTGGGACTCAGCACAGTGGATGCCTGAACACCCTCCTCGTCCAGGCACATTGCAATTCCCCTTAGGACAAACGAAAGGGGCTGTCCCCCAGACACTCAAAAGCAGCAGGCAAGGAGCTGGACTTTGAACATGTCCCAAGGCAGATCGGTACTTGGCACTATCCCTCATTCCATCAGTTGCCACCTGGCACAGGATGGAGCCCTGCCTCCTGCTGGCAGACAGTACCCAACACAACAGGGCACAGCAGCCTCTCTGTGAGCCAGATGTGTGCAAGGAGCACAGCTCAGGCTCAGAGGAGGTCCATGTAGGGAGCAAAGATCTCGAGCAAGCAATAACCAAGCTGGACACTTTGTAAGAAAGGAAATAAACATGCTGCCCAGATTCATCCTGTAAAGGCACAGAGCCCTGTCTGACACTTGAGGGCCAGCATTGCTTGTTCAGGAGATTGAAGCTGCAGCACTAGGGAAAAAATGGGGAGAAGGCTGCTCCTTTCAGGTTTGGTGATTGATTTGCTAGTCATCCCAGAAACCCCCTGCATGAGCTGAGCTAATCTAATCTAATCTAATCTAATCTAATCTAATCTAATCCTCCTGGGCAGTAAGGGACAGGCCTGCCTCCTCTGTAGTTCCCACACTTC